CGAAGCAGCGCAAACGAAAGCGAAGCGAACGAAGCCCCTGATGCCCCATGGGGAGAGGCCGCGGGCGGTCTGCACTCCATCCTGGCGGCGGTTGGCCCGCGGCGGCCGCCGCCCCCGTTCGTCGCCGTGGGTGGTCGCTGTCGAGGAGGAGGAGGAGGAGGAGGAGGAGGAGGAGGAGGAGGAGGAGGAGGAGGAGGAGGAGGAGGAGGAGGAGAGGGAGGAGGAGGAGGAGGAGGAGGAGGAGGAGGAGGAGGAGGAGGAGGAGAGGAGGAAGAGTAGTAGGAGGAGGAGGAAGAGGAGGAAGAGGAGGAGGAGGAGGAGGAGGAGGAGCGGCCGCACCAAGAAAGGAAGAGACGAGGGCAAGCGGGCAAGACGCGAGAAGAGGGCAAGTGTCCCCGCTCCAGTTCGTCTCAAACTACGGCTTCATCGCGTGCAGTGCAGCGGCGCGGCGCTCAGTGCCAGTAGTGTAAAGAACCGCGGCGCGAGGCGCGGCGTGCGTGATGACATGCACTTTGTTATAGAAGTGAAATGAAAGCGCTGTCCGACGGACAGCTCCAGGAATGGCGTGCTCAGGGTTAGCGTGTTGCCCAGGCGTCCCTAGGCCGATGCGAACGAGGGGGTCCGAGGAGAGGAACGAACGAGGTAACGCGAGGAAGCGAAGGAGGCGGGGGCAGGTGAGGTAATGGCCGAAACGATCTGGGCTGGCATCGTACCCGAGCAGACAGGTGCGGCGCGGGCCGAAGGAAAAGCGGTGGCTGGTCCACCACGCTCCCACCAAAGTCTTATATACGGCCCAGCGAATGGCTGGGGCCTTCTTCGAGAGGCAGCTGGTTAATTCCTGCCAGCGGTCGGACATATTCTGCGGCACTGCAAGATCGGGCAGCGCCGAGGAGAGAGGGCGTGCTAGAGTCTCTGCGAACTTGTCGGGGAAAAGGGAGGAGTGGAGGAAAGAAGCGAGGGATCGCTGGACCCTAGAACGCCGGGATTCTTCGACGGCGGCAGTCTGTTCGTCTGCGGCCGCTCTCTGAGCTGCACGCCAGACGAGCGGTGAGACAGAGTACGGTGGTTTGCCGTCAGCAAGCTCGCGCCCGCATTCGACGATGCCAGGGCTCTTCCAAAACACGGGAGGAACGGTGGCCCGTGTACGGGCCTGGGCCAAATCTGCCAGAGACAATTCTGGATTGAGCTGGTCTTGAGCGAGTACTAGAGAGCGATACAGTGGCTTCCAGTCGGGAAGCGTGACAGAGGCCGTGCGCCGCGCTGAGGCCACTGAAAGCGTGATCAGTGAATTGGCGGAGGACGATTGCGACCACGTGCGAGCACCAAGGAGGTCGACGAGGCGCCAAGAGTTGGGGGGAGCCCTGAGAATCTTATGCAGGGTGCCACGTTCGTGCCGCAGGAACGCGACTGGAAATGGCAAATACTGCGTGCGGTACGAGAGGACAGTGATAACACATGCGTTATACAGTTTGAGCGCCACTGCGGGGCCACGAGCGCTCGCCGCTAACTGTACCACGCTCAACCAGTATTCATCACATGCGGCTTCTCATTGAATGTGTAAAGTTACTGCTGGGCCTATGAGCACGCCTAGATAGCGAGCGTATTCTGCAATCTGAACGTGAGCAGGAGGAGGAGGAGGAGCGCCAGTACCATAAGAACGTTTGTCCACAGCACCCGACCGCGCTGAACCTCAGTTGCAGTTGTTGAGGCGGCCCAGCGCCGCTCGGTGGCAGCCCCTGTGGAGGGCAAGGGAACTTGCGGACGACGCCGTAGGTTTGACCTAAGTAAAGGTAATAGAGCAACACGAGGTTGCGCATCGCCGTGAACCTGGAGCGTTCGTGCTTTGGGTCGTCGCGGCAAGCCGCATCTCCGGCAAGCCCGAGCCGATGAAGAAGATCGCCATGAAGGAACTTTCGAGGGCGAGGCAGCCAATGGAGGGCACGGCGGCATTTCAGATAGTGGCTGATCTCGTCTCGCCCGTCTTCGCATCCGAATGCGCGGGCGTGTCGCGCATCAAGAACATGCATGCGGTAGCTGGTGCGCCACCCGCCCGCAAGGGTCCTCAAGACTATCCACCACCATGCTGGAGGCAGCGTGGTGAGGAATACCCTCACCTGCCGCCACCTCTGTCGTAGGTCATGTGGGATCAGCTCGGGCTCGATCCACATTGCGAGCCTCTTCTTCACTGTCTTGTCGAAGGTGTCCGGGTAGGTCGCCGCCTGGAGGGACTTCACGAATGCCCTCTGCGGGCGAGGGCGCACGCCAGCATTCACGGACAACTGCATAGCATGTTTGGCTACCTCCGCTGCTTGCCGGCACAGGGGGGGCGCGCGGGCGGAGGCCTCCATGGGGCGGCCCCTGGCTGCTTGTACAATAGCAGCGCCCATGCTCCAGAAGGGAGGCGACAACTGCCCAGCCGCCAGTCGCGGAAGCCCAATTATGCGAGACGCCACAGCCTCCAGCCGCTGCACGGTCATGGGCCAGGTCGCAATCGTGCACTCCGCAGTGCGCCACAACGTCCCGGCCGCCAGCGCTTGCATCGACCTGGCCGCTGTGGTCGGGAACCAGGCGTCGAAAGACAGTATGTCGGTCAAACGGAAGGCGGAAGGAGGGAGCCGCAGCGCATTGTGGAGTGCGTGGAATTCCTTGCGCACGAGGTTGCGCGGCAGACCGACGCACTGGGCGAGGTAGGCGAGGACGGTCAGACACGACGTGCCATAGAGGCGCACGCTTGAGTCGATAGGAGCGCCAGCCTGACTCGTGAGCACCACCCGTCGCCACCATCTGTCGCAGGCCCGGCCCCACTGGTCGTCGTCCGTGGCGCCGGGTCCCATGACGGCGCCGAGGTGCTTCCCTTTGTCCTCGATGCGGACGTCGCTCCACTTGGGGGCCAGGTGGGTTACGACGCGCCTGACATGCTCGATCACATCCTCGGTCAATAGCGCCAAGAGCGGAATCGGATAGCTCTTCTTGGGCTGGAGGTGAAGATTGTCGGGCTCGGCCGCAGAGTCGAAGATGTTGGCAATGGCGGGCAACTGGCGCACGCCGCGATTGACGGCGCCAACGTCGTCGGCGCAGGCCGCAGCAAGACCGCCACGATGTAGGTCTTACGTGTCAGAGCTTTCCGGCCCCGGCCGCCCTGAGGAGCTCCGAACGTGACCCGCATGCGAAGGGGCTGGAGGTCTGAGGAAGATCCGGAATTAGCGATGTCCCCGGGAGCACTTGGGCAAGAGCTCGTAAAATCGTGCCCATTGCGATAGCCCACGCACTGCCTGATAACGGGCAGCCCTGCGCCACCCCACCGGCCAGCGCACAGAGGTGACGATGTACCCCGCCCAAGAGAACGAAACCCTCCGAGTCGTCATATAGAGCCCAGACGGCGTTCAAGAGGCACTGGGGGGTGCCGAGAAGCGGCGGAGGGCACGCGATGGGAAGGCGGCGGCGATGTCGAAGAGCACGAGCATGGGCATAGAATCCTCCCCATTTGGAAGCAGGCCGGCCAGGCGCGCCTCGGCATCGATGGCAACGATGTTGCCGCAGAAGGTACGTCCTCTGATGAAGCCCTGCTGGATGGGGTGCGCGTGCGCCGCGACGTGCAGCGCCAGCTGGGCGTTCGTGGCGGACGCGATTATCTTCGCATCAGTGTTATTCCTGATGATGGGTCAAAGGTTGCCCGCGTCGCGAATGCAATTGACCGAGTCCCCCTCCTCGGAGCCCTTGGGGATGATGGAGAACAGCGAGTGGTTGAAGCCCAGCGGAGCTACTCCAAACTCAAACATGTCGAAGGCCACGTCCTCCAACAAGTCGAAAGAGCCCTGAGTCCGGGCCCAGGCCGCATACGGGAGCTGATCAGGGCCAGGTGCAGAATTGTGGGCCCGAGACGCGGCACGCCGGAGACTCGCCGCAGAGGGGGGCGCCATGCTGGCTGCAGGGATGTCCGGAGAGACGCGCCGGCCCAGGGAATTGTCGAGTTTCGCCGCGTCGACGGTGGCGCCTGCAAAGATGGGCCCCCAGTGGCCCCGCAGCGCATTCAACATGCCTTCGGGATCCTTGTGGATGGCGCGCCCGCGCGACACGCGAACCCCTTGTAACTGCAGACGGGCCGCAAAGGGAGCCCACAGCCTACTGCGTCGTTGAAGATGGCTTTGCTGCTGCTGGTGATGCTCTGCGTCCTGAGTGCGACGCAGGCGCGTGGCGAGCGCGGCGTCCTGCTGAGCACGAAGCTGCAGGGCTCGAAGATGAGCGCGATGAGCTTCGACAGCAGCAGCGGCGAACTGGTTCTCGTTAGTGAGGACAACCTCCGAGCCAGCGATGACCAGGTGGGTTCGCCTGTCCTCCTTGCGCTCGATGAGGTTGGCCGCGAGGGCCACGTCGTGGCGACGCGCCGCTCGGAAGATTGACCGCGTCGTGATACTGCGGACAGCGGCGGCCGTTTGGCTTTGGGCACCTCCAGGGAGGCTCGCGAGGAGGTTCCGAGTGAGTCTCGAGGCATTGGTCATGTTCGACTTCATGACGCGCAGCAGTTGCGTTGCTGAGCGCCCCACCGCATTCGACATGGCATGGAGGAGGTCGCAGTGTTCCTGGAACTGGGGCGCGTCGAGC